CAAATAACGTTTGGATTATTCATCCTATATGGTTGAGTGTAATGAGTTCTAGGTTTGCTAAGAGGTGCTCTTCTAGTTTGATTATTTGTCCTGGCATTTTTATTCCCCCTAGCTTTAACAAATATTGTTTTTCTAGGTTGGTTTTTCTTATATCCGAGTCCTTCACCATTACTAACTTTTTGCTTAAGTATTTTATCTAAGGTGTTTGAAGCATTATTAAACTTTCCCAAATTGCTCTCTAAACTAGCAACCTTAGCTTTTAGTGATGTACAACTAGATCATGTAGAAGAAGTAGATGAAGGTTCTTGTGGCCTTTTTCCAAGAGAGATAATTTCTTGTTTAAGTTTATCATTTATATTTTTGAGTTCTTTTACATCTTTTTCAAAAATCAGGATTTTTTGTTTAACTTCATTATTTTCTTTGGAAGCCTTTTTAAACATTCCTACAAGTTCTTCTACAATGCAAACAACATCATTAAGAGTTAAAGGATCATTGGGAGAAGGTTCTTGATCACTTACCTCTTTTGATGTTTCACCATCCTCAATGGCCATGAGACATAGGTTGGCCACTTCCTCCGTTTCCGAGTCTTCACTCTCGGAGCCGTCGTTCTCCCAAGAAATGTAGGCATGTTGCTTCTTCGGTGCCCTCTTGTCCTTCTCGTTCTTGAGCTTTGGACACATTGGTTTGATGTGTCCAATTTCACCACACCCATAACACTTGGGTGGAGTGTTCTTCTTGGCTCCCCTCTTGAGCATCATCTTCTTGAATTTTCGGACGAAGAGTCCGAGGTCGGTGTCGTCGCTGTCATCATCTTCACCATCAACGTTGTTGTGGGATGATGTTGTTGCGGGTAGAGCAATAGACCTCTTGCTCTTCTCTTCAACCACCTTTGAGAGTTGGGTGGTTTCGTAGGTAATGAGATTACCTCGAAGAGCATCATAGGTCGTTGTTTGAAAGTCACGACCTTCTTCAATTGCGTCCACCTTTGAACGCCATTTTGGGGATAAGCTTCGTAGCACCTTTCTTACAAGTTCTCGGTCGGTGTAAGTCTTCCCGAGAAGATTGAGAGGATTAATGATCTTAGAGAACCTCTCAAACATTTCCTCAATCTTCTCGTTGTCCTTCATTGAGAAGAGTTCGTACTCGTGGGTGAGATGGTCGATTTTGGCCTCCCGAACCTGCGTGGTTCCTTCGTAGGTGACCTCCAATTTCTCCCACATTTGTTTTGCGGTTTCACACCGCGAGATTTTGCGGTAGTCACCCGCATTAAAACCACAATAAATCATGTTTATTGCCTTAGAGTTGAGCTCCATCTTTTTGCAATCTTCGTCGGTGAACTCCTCTTCGGTTTTGGGGACGTTGACTTCACCGACTTTCTTCATCGGGACTCCGCAGCCGTTCTTCACAATCAACCACAGCTTATAGTCGTTGGATTGGATAAAGATTCTCATCCTCTCCTTCCAATAAGAGTAGTTGGTTCCGTCAAACAACGGTGGCCTTGTGGTTGATTGTCCCTCGGTCACTCCTGCGTTGAACATCCTTGACGCCATTTGATCTTTTAGTTCCTGAAAAATAATGTATTCGAAGAACTTCCTGCTTCGATACCAATTGTTAGACAAATGTGCAACTCTAGAGGGGGGTGAATAGAGTTGTTTTCAAGAATGTGCGTTTTTCGCATGTGTGAAATAATAAAATCGCAGGAATAAATAAAGAGAGTAAAGGAAAGAGGAACACCCAGATTTAAACTGGTTCACCACCTCGTGGCTAGTCCAGTCCTCCGAGAGACTCTCTCGAAAGTCCTACTAATCTTCAAGCTTCAACGGGTGCTTGAAAAACCGGTACAACTTGAGAACTTGAATCACACAAGCCTCACTTTCTTACAACAACAAGACTTGAGTCACACAAGTCTTAACAACAACAAGACTTGAATCACACAAGTCTTAGCAACACTCAAATAGGATTGAGTTTACAACACAAGAATGAAAGCTCACACAATTTGAGCAAAGTAGTGTTGAAGGATTAAAGCTCTATGGATGACAACTTCTTTAGCACTCAAAGAAAAATATTTCTAACTCTCAAAAATAATATTTTGATGAGGAAGATGAAGCAAGGAATGAATATAGCTCAAAAGGTATATTAGAGCGCAAGAGTAGTGTGTAGAAATGGAGGAGAATGAGGGATTAAATAGGCTGAGGATAAAAGATCCGTTGGAGCAGACTGAGAATATACAATATTAATCGATTAAGGTAAAACCTTTAATCGATTAAGGTGTACAGAAGAGAAAAGGTCTTCTGCGCAGGGTGCAAATTAATCGATTAAATTTGACAAAATAATCGATTAGATGGCGCTGTCTCAACTAATCGATTAAATTACGAATAAAAATCGATTAAACTAAAAGCCTGAGAAATCCAGCGCTGAGAAAGTGGATCTAATCGATTATTTTAGAACAATTAATCGATTAAAGTGGAAATAATGCACAAACATAAAGGGCCCAAGCCAAGTGCGATGAGAAGGGCATTGGCTCTTACTCGTTGTTTGAGACAAGAACGCTCCTCAAGAGAAAGTATCCCTTATTCAATGGATTTGAATAGGGAGAAAAAAAGTGAGTCCAAAAATTATTTTGTGTGTCAAACGAAGTACAAAAGAATATTTAAAATGTACTTTTCTTACCAAAAAAAAATGTGTGTATAAAAAAAATTTCAAGAAATTTTGACACACTATTTTGAAACTGACACAGTAAAATATTTTTAGACAGAGGAAAAATAATTTTTCAACTGACTCAGAAAATAATAATATTTTATCCCTCAAAATTAATTTGTTTATGCAGAAAGTATTGTCATCCTTACACATATTCCTAGACTTAATAAAAAATAAAAGGTCTTCGGAATCTTCACTTCACTTCAAAAGTCTGCGTAGGGGTAAGCATTGATTTTATCACCGAAAATATCTTGATACGCCTCTTTGCTTTTCTTGATACGTAAAATAAATTTTTGATCAGTTTGAATATAATCATCATGTTTGTCAATCATCAAAACAAAAAATATTCCAGAAGAAATAATAAAGGGGTTTGAACTCATGTCCAACAGCTATTCACCCCCCTCTAGCGTTGGTCATTTATTCTAACAGTATGTCGTCATACCTTAAGAATGCTCCTTTTGCTATGCAGTGACAGTCACTGAATTAGCATGTTATCTACTCATAACATTTAGAGTAGAACATTTTCGGTCTTTATCATGATATTTGATAGGCGTGTCGTAGCACCTACAAATTAATTAATTATTTTCCTTAACTCCTAACCCCCTTTATGCAATAATATTCATTAAAACATCTAGATAGGGCAAGTAAGGGTCGATCCCACAAGGAAAGATACTTTTTAGGCTATGAAAATCAGTTTACTTGTCACTTCTATTGAATAAAAATAACTAACGAAAATCTAAAACTAAATGATATGGGGGGTTTGAATGATAATTCTAAAAAGATAAAAAACAGACAAATAAAATAAAGATAAAGGATAACTAGATAACAGATACGAGACGAAACCACAGCAGCAAGCCAAACTCAGAAGTCACTCAGGGGGAAAACAATCACACAATAAACTTTATAAAAATGTAGACAATAATAATTAGCTTAAACCATTTTAAAAATACTTATAGTTTTTAATAGAGAATAAACTGAACAAATCTGATTAACTAATTAATTATGCCTTGATTCTGAAATTAAACTGCTAATTAAACTCAGGGTTATGCTGAAAAAGAGGTCCACCAACGGTTCTTCCCTATTCTCCCATTCATATTAGCTCATGTTAACACCAACCCTAACTCTAAACCCTACTACCCTTAGCAACCCAAAGACCAACCCTTAAGTTACTACTAAGAATAACGCATTAAGATTTGTGGAAAACATCACCATAACAACTTTGCAGTAACACTACAGTTATTTAGCAAAATCAGTTCGAGAACCTTGATTAGCAAAAACCACTTAGCGAGGCAGTAAGTACTAATCAAGTGACACTTGGTTTCTAGAAAAGTTCGGCTACTTAAAGCACTTTGGACTTTAAAAGAATACGGAGTATCAATTTACATTGGATTAGGCGCGCGTTCCTAATTTGGTCCAATTTAAGTAAAATCCGGTGAATAATAGTTCTCAGAACACCTTTTGAGTTTAGATTTAACAGTAGCGTAGAGCTAAAATCTCTTCAAAGTCAAATTAATTCAACAAACAAAGATTCAATCTTTTTGTCAAACAATTTGGCCTAAGAAGGTTTTATAATTTCAGAGACAATAATCAATCAATAAATCATAACTTGAACCATTTAACATCAACACTCAAACAATTCAACACTTATAATATAACTTAAACATTCAAGAAACATGAAATTGAAAATAAACATATTTAATATGGAGATTCAAATTCATCAGTTTTAGAAATTAATAAGTTTTAAAAAATCCTAAATAAGAATGGAAGTAGAATCAAAACACAAGAAAAACTCCCCTGACTTGTTCTTCTTCATTCCCACGGTGCACACAGAGGACCTAGTGGAGCCGCCGCCGGACCATATGTCGTCGCGGCGCCGCGCCGGACCTAGGGTCGAAACCCTTGGTCCGACTCTCTGTTCCGTTTCCCTCTCTGCTCTCTTCCGATCTGGTCTCCCGATCTCCCTCTAGAATTGGGGTTGAAGGAGATGATTTTTCTTGTGGCTTTTGTCTCCTTTTATAATTGTGAAGTTTGGAATCTTCAATTTGGAGTATGATTCTTGCAATTTGCGTTGGATTTGGGGAAGGACTCTGTTTCTTGCGCCTTCCGTTTGGAGTCTGCTCTCTTCTGCGCTGGTTAGTGCAGTTCATCAGTCTAAGACCGGACCGACCCGAACCGGACCGAAGACCGAAATGAGTAAATTCAAGGACCGAAGACCGGACCTAAATCCATTCGGGTTTGGACCAGACCGAACCGAAATATTTAGGACCGAACTGGTCCGGACCGATTGGACAAAAAAAAATACATACCCGGAGTATTTTTTAATTATTTTGATCAATTAAATATATTTTAGACTTTTTACTATGTACCATTCAAATAGAAAATGAATAAAAAAAATAGGCAACCTTAAAATGGATACACAATATGAACTACTTCAATGTAGAACCATAAAACAAATATCAACATTTTGTTTAGATTTTTTTTAAAATTACTTAATAAAAAACCTTTTTAATTAAATAAATTAAAATATCTATTAAAATAGAGCATCAAAGTGTAATAAAGAACTTAAAAAGTAGAGTTTTAGTATTTAGGTCCAGTAGGGTCATTAGGTCCAATCGATCCAATACTAAATAATTTCGGGTTTGGACCGGACCGGACCAAAACCCGAATGCCTAAATTTTCTGGATCGAAGACCGACCCGAAATCCATTCGGTCCGGGTTCGGTCTGGACCTAACGGTCCGGTTCGATCGGTTTTTTCGGTCCAGACCTAAATGTGAACAGCCCTAGCGCTGGTTTGCTTCCTCTTCTACGGTTCTTTCTTTTTTTCTCTTTTATTTATTTGCTTGCTTCAATAATTGGTTGGGTCAAAAGGTGGTGGATCAAATACATCTTTGGGCTTGGTCCTAACTTCATTCTTCTCCCATTGCTTTGTTCCATCAGCCCAATTCCATTATCTTCTTTAGATCAGGACTCCAAATTAATTATCAAATATAAATATGCTCAAAATCATGCATTTTATGTATAATATGCAAACAATGGCCTAAAATACTAAATATTAGAAAATATGCTCATTTAGGTATAAAATGCATATTAAATATATTAAAACTACTCAGAAATGAGGAAATAAAATACGACATTTTATGACTTAACAATATTCATGATAGGTCCAAAGATAGTTGCATAATGAACGATTCTTATGCATTCCCTATGTTGAGGTATATCAAGTCTTCAAAAGACTTGAATCTTTGGATTACGGGTAAGTATTTAGATCAACAACATTGAATCTGCAAATAACTTGCCCTTATATATAGACCTTGTGACTCCATTTAATCTATCCAATAGATTCAATATTCATTGCGTATTTGGTTTTACTTATAAGGAATTCTACTCAACTCCCCATGGATGTTTGAAGTAGGAATATCGAACTTACCTTATGGAAAAACATAGCGCTCCCACTATCCTTTTATTGTCACAAGTTTTCATCCCTTAAAGACAAACTCATAAGTAATTATGATTTTCTTAGAGAGATGAAATAGCTCCAAGAAACTTTGATTAAGATCTCACCGGGTAACATTTGAATCTTATAGCTCGTTGCCATTTCTTGGACTTGATGCTCATAAGATTGGTCAATGACTCATCTCATGCTATAAGCCAAAAGCCGAATCGTATTCAGATAGACCAAATCTATACTTGTGTTATTTGAGCAATCTCGAGACACAACATATTGTATCTCTTGCTCATGTTCCATTCTTAGAAGTTGGTAATTTGAAGTTGTATTAGTCTTTATCTGTAATAAATAAAATAAACTCATGATTATGACACATTAATAGATAAATCCGATGAAGTATTTGCAACTCCTTCAATTTTCTCTCCTCACGCTTGCCGATCCCATCATTGGATGTTTCACATTATTGCAGGTGTTTCATAAAATGTTGCAGCGCCCATGAAAAAACAGAAACAATTATAGGTTTTGTTTTTCTAAAAGTTGTAGGAGTTAACAAGTTTACCATGTCTTACAAGTTTAGAAAAATATGGCACCGCTTTTAATAGTGGCTAACACGAAACTAATAAACATAAGGACCAGATTGAACAAAAATGAATAATACGACTCTGTATATGAACTAAATTTCACCAAATCTGAATAGTGCACATTTTTCTTTAGTGTAGGAAACTTCATGCTATACTCTTTACTCTATTACTCGTACAATTCCATTCACTCAGAATTATTGTAGGTTGTGTTCGGATTTATTGTACTAACAAATAAACTTCTGGACCAAAACATTGCATTAATGGTTCTTGTAGTATTATTTTTCCTCTTCAAAGTTATCAAAGAGAACTTGCACATTTCCTCGGGATAAAGCACACAAAAGCCAGACTGATCTCACAGGCGGGATCTCCCTGTTTCCATTTCCAAACTCTGCAACGCAAAATATCGGTTGACCATATTACGTATCCCGTCAAAAGAATGAGACTTATTAGTTGTCCACTTCCATGTATTCATTTGTCCAGAATTAGTTGTCCACTAAATCCCGACGGATGGATGTATTAAATAATTTATTAAGACTTATAAAGCCAAAAAGACTGCAGACTTACAAGAGGGGCAGCCTTGGCAGCTCTTTCAGCCAAGTAAGAACATGGCTCAAAGACACCTCCATAGATCTTTGACCAATCATTAAGCTTCGAGTAAATGTACTTTGATCCAAGGGTGTCTGCCCAAAACAGGATGCCTCCCCTGGTTGATGATACAAAATGTTGAGAGAGATCATTAATCAAATTATATGCTTAATGATCTATTAATTAAGCAACATGATGAAATTGAGAACACAGACCTGTAAGGTGGGAAACCCATGCCCATGACAGACGCTATGTCTAAATCAGCCGCTTTGATTGCAATGCCTTCAGCAAGTACTCTACATGCTTCGTTTACAATTGGCAAAAACGTCATCTCCACAATGTCCTTATCCGAAAGTTTTGTCAACTAAAATCAAGTTCACCTCGTGTTTAGTTGACCGTAAATGTAACAAATTAATACCTATTACGGTTATGTGAGGTTAAGATGAGAGAGAGACCTTAGGGTCAATGGTAACGCCAGACATTTCCCTTGACTCCTCAATGTATTTCTTTATTTCAGGATCTGGGCTGGCTTTGCGCCTTTCATCATAAATATAAAATCCTCTCCTAGTGGATTCACCTAAAACATTTCCAAGACCCATACAATCATTTGCTAGCTTGAGAAAGTAAAAAATATATACTCCCTCCGTTCCATAAAACCCTTTCCCTTTCATTTTTTTCAATTCCCTAAAACACTTCCACTTTCTATTAAAAAACCACTTTTACCCCTACTTTTTTATACCCTACCTATCACTTCATACTTTTTCACTAATAACCAAACTATCACATCTTACTTTTATCCATCACATCAGGGGCAAAATTGGAAAATCAACCAAAAATACACTTTTCTTATTTTGGCCCAAAGTCAAAATAGGAAGTGTTTAAAGGAACGAAGGGAGTATGAATTAGGAAGCAGCAATGGTACCTCCCCTATTGTCTTCTTGCATGAGTGGTATCAACATCGATTTATAAGTTCTTTTTGGAAAGTTCATCACGTATTGACCTCCTGTTGCCATTGAAACGCCAAAGCCAACAAGGTCGCACAATCTTCATACATACAACAAAACAATTGAGCACATACATGTAAATTGAAATAAAAACAGATTCGTCCACGTAGGCAGGATAGTGAATTTTCATTAATGGAGACAAAGCATGACCTAAAAGGGCCCATGGGCATTCCAAATTTGGTAATTGCTTTATCTATTTTGTAGACATCTGTACCCCGTTCCACGAGCAAGAGAGCAGCTTGAGTGTAAGGAAAGAACATCCTGTTGACAGCAAAACCAGTGCAATTACCCACAACCATAGGGGTTTTCTTTATCTTTTTCCCAAGCTCTAGTAAGTCGACAATAGTTTGACGAGACGTTTTTTGAGTGCGAACAATTTCCAAAAGTGGCATCACATGAGCTGGACTGCATTTAAAATAGAGAAACTATTGAACCAGCAGAAAAACATAGATATAAAACTTGCATCTCCAGTAGATATTACCTGAAAAAGTGGGCACCAATGATACGGTCATGTGATCTTGTTTTCTCTCCAATTAAGTTCAAGTCAATGGTGGATGTACTGCTCGCAAGTATGCAATGCGGAGGACAATACTTCTCAAGATCAGAAAATATGTTCTGCGTTAGATTTATGTCCTCGATAACAGCCTGTTCAAAAGAAAATTGCACTGAGATACAAAAAAACAATATCATACAAACTGAACTGAGAATCTATACGCTACCTCAATTGCCAAATCCACATCTCTAAAGCTTTCGTAGTCTAGGACACCTTTTAGCAGGGAAAAAGTTTTTTCAAACTTCTCTTGACTCATTTTCCCCTTCTTCACTCGACTTTGCAAATTGGCTGTTGCACGACATGCATTACATCATATAGAAAGAATTAAATCATAAAGTCAAACCTAGACCATATCCTTACCTTTTACTCTACCAATTCCAGCTTGCAGAAATTTCTCATTAACTTCCTTCAAAATTACAGGATAGTTGCAGAGAAGAAAAGTTGTTGCGATACCAGAGCCCATTAGACCCCCTCCCAGAATTCCAACCTTCTTAATGTTTCTTGGTGCAAGCCCTTGATCAGTTACACCAGGAACCTGTATACAAAGATATTTGGAAAGCTTATACCAAAGCTGGCATCAATGTAGCTTTACTGGAAATGTATGGGGAATATGGTCATAGTCTATTCAAAGTGATTCTCAGTGTGGTTATTTATAAATATATGCATATGCACGATATATTCTTTTAATAATAGCCTAATGCTATTACTTATCTTACCTTTTTTGTTCCACGAAGGGCAAAAAAAATGTGTACCAAGGCCTTGCACGTGTCCGAATATAGAAGCTCTTGGAATGCTTCTGCCTCCTGCAAATATCAAGTGCATGCTAGATCATTAGACACTATGAGTTCTTGACCAAAGCCAAAAAAGAGCCAAGGGAAGAATTAAACCTTCCAAAGGCCAGCACGTGGACCAGATACTATACCCTCTTCAACAACATCAATGCAGACTAATGGATGGTTAAGATTTGGAGCTTGCTTACGGGCCTGAGCTCGAGCAAACTTTAGGATCTCCTTGGCATCCCCAAGTGGTTCTATTCTGTCTGTCCTATAGAGACTTATAACCCAAGGTTTGCGACGTTCAAAGATATCAAGAACCCAACGACGTGCAGCATCCAATAGTTCATTGGGTGAGACAACAGCATCTACGAGACCCAAATTCAAGGCTTCCTGTCCTTTAACGAGCTTTGATGTCTAGGAGACACACAAGAGACACGTGTACATGAGAGAGTTGAATGTATAGATTAAACAAAAAGCTGTATTCTAATAAATATTGTGAATACTATTTTTAAAATGGGAAATGTAACATGAGCTAGCACTTACAAGCATCATCTCTAAGCCCTTAGCAAGACCAACAAGGCGTGGAAGCCGTTGTGTGCCTAACAACACAAACTATTCAATTACTGTGAATGACAATGTGACTTGTAATTATAAATATCAAACTATTTTTGCAATCATATTTTGAAATAAATACTCAAAACCCATGTTCTGCACAGGAAAAAGAAAATCCAAGTTCAAAAGAGAAACTTGAAAAGGAAGAGATAATTTCGGATATATATATATATATATATAAAAAGAGAGAGAGAGAGAGAGAGAGAGAGAGAGAGAGAGAGAGAGATGACAATCACTATCATCAGTATTTCATAAGAGCTTTACTATAGGAACAATTACTATAAAGAGAGAGAGAGAGAGAGAGAGAGAGAGAGATGACAATCACTATCATCAAACTGTGAACAATGTACCAATATTTACTATAGGAACAATTACTATTTTTGATCTTTATGGAGTTAGGCATCTAATAACTCTATGGACCACGAAGTGCTTGCAAATCCCAACATACCTCCAAACCCAGGAATTATACCAAGTGGGAGCTCCGGTAAGCCAAGTTGTGCATGTGGAGTAGAAATACGGGCATGGCAAACCTAAAAGGATGAAAAAGGTTACCTTATGGAAGTATACATAAATTCAGTAAATAAACCGTATGAAATGTTTACCATTGCAACTTCGAGTCCTCCACCTAGAGCAAGACCATCAATGGCTGCTACTGATGGTTTTCTTGAAGCTAGGCATGGGAATGGAAACGAATGATTAAAGAAGCATATATGATAGTCAAAATATACAGTTTTTCTAAGCGTTGGTGTGCCACCGTGCCACATGATCTGTAGGATCGTTTTGAACTTCCCAGTGGGTCACCCATCCTGGGACTACTCCCATTCCAGCACGCTTAAATGCAGAGTTCTAAAGTTAAAGAGGTGCCAAATGCTTCCTAAAACCAATTGGTGATAGGAGGGTGGACACTTTGTATTTAACCACATCTCTTTGTAGCCCCAAGCCGAGGTAGATTCCTATAGGGCACCCCCTATAGTTCACTACGGCAGTGCGGAGCCCCACTACTTAGCGGTGGATGGACAGGAGGGGCTTCGCAAGATACACGACTCGTGTACCTCGTCAGGTTGGGCTGTCAGTACCCTAAACCGTGACTAGCACAGTAGCGAATCCCTAAGGGTGATCGATGGTCCCCCATAAGACCAACATGATCTTGCTTTGATGTTGACAAATATATAAATGCGCTTAATAATATTTCAAGTGTGCACGAACAACCTCACTCAATGTTTTATGGTTCTCAAGAAAAGTGCATGGTGAACCACAACTACTAGTTCTTTTATGAATTGTTATTCCATGATGTTTTTAAAAAGCAGAAAAATAATCTTCCTATGGAATGGTTCATCTATTGACTTCTATAGTCGATCATTTAGTCGATCATGTGACTGTTCACACTTCACATGAACATTTCAGTCTTCGGTCCAAAGCCTGGACCACTTGGTTGACCACCAATTAAATTTTGAACTGTGGTTCTGACTACTCCTCATGTGACCAAAAAGTAAAACAGAGTAGTAATTGAAAAGTGGTTGTGTGAGTTGAAAAGTGATAAAAAATAGAGAGGATAAAGGGGTTGATTTAAATCCGGGGGTGGGGTATTAGTTTGATGTGATATAGAGTAAAAGGTTAAAAGAAAGCGTGAAGTTTCTAACGGGATAAACAAAAATGACGTCTATAAACTTTCAAATTGGATGTAGGGAGCACATAGTAGTATCTCAATATTAGTAACAATGCCCATTAAATTTATGAAGAAATAAGAATTTTTTTAGAGAAAAACCAAGAACCAAATTCACACATGGCACCATAAGTCATAGACAAAAAAACAAAAATCCAAAAAAAACAATATAAGTGGTAGATGAAGAATCAAGAACATGTCATAAACAAATAAATGATGTGTGAAAGAGCAAACAATAAAAAAAGCCTCAAATGTCATCCTCCTCGGCCATTGTTGGAAAGCCCATCTCCTCCGTCAAACACTTCATCTTCATTACAATCTTCTTCAAGAGCATATTCAAACTCATCAAACACCAACTCTTATTCATCTTCAATTCTTCATTACCTATTACTCCAAGAGGAAGCCTGCAACTGGACTATTGTTGTGAATCTCTCAGGGTATTGGGATGGTGCGTCGAAGTAGAAGGCTTTGCGGAGTGCATCAATAGTGTCTAGGAGTAGTGTATGGTATGGCCTTTAAATTCTCTAACCCTAACTTATGAAAGTCAAATAAAAAAAGTTGAGGTTCACGACGCGTGCCTCTACTGCCCATTAGGAGTATTGCACATGAGCAAGTATGCGCACGCATCTGCATTACAGAGCATGATACCCAACGTATTGCGCCTCATGGTCATCACGCCCTAGGCACGTCTTTCACAACTATGATTACAAGTGTTTGAGTTGTATTCATGCTCCTTTCTCTCACTCGTTTTTATTGAGAGCTATACTTAAGCAAGATTATTTTTATCAATTCTCAAACACTTGTTGAGCTTGTGGCGTAGGTACACATAGCAATCTATAGTATCTTGTGTTAAATCTTCTCAGTGTTTAGTCATGCTACACCCACCATTTGTTCATAAACACTTGAGATATTCACTCTTTTTAAGGCGATGTAGTAACCTTTTATATCAATTTTGGATCAGACCTCTTTGTTTTAAGGTATGTTGCTGAATTGGGCTAAAACCAACGTCACGGTTTCTTGGTGAACAAAGCAAAAGTAAATGTAAGTTTGCTAGTGATCTCGCAAAAACGGACATCCTTAATGGCAAAGGTTGCGCCTGGAGAATAATGAAATCCTAAATGAGCCCTTGAGTAGTGGATTAAGAATTTCTATATCACTCTAAAATATGGAGTTGTTGTAAGGTAACTTTACATACTTAATTTCTCATTTTATCTGAGCATAGTTTTTTGATAAAGTACGCTAAGCACAAAACTTTAATCCTTCCAGTGTGCAGAATGTCATGATGTGTCAAGCTCAAATATAAGCTCATGGAATTACCTTCTACTATGTCACTAAGAATCTCCACCGACACAAAACCATGTTTTGGTATTGTAACTGTGATTTAAACAAAACAAGTTAGAGAGAAAAATGATAACTTAGCTAAGATGTAAGAATTATAGCTATTCATACCCATTCCTCTTTGTAATCCACCAAGTGCACTGATATCAAAACCGCCAGAAAACTTTCCATTTGCACCTGTTAGATATTTAAAATAAATGTTCACACTTCACACACATTTACTGAATAGCAGAAAAATAAGGTAGTGAAACTTGCCTGTAACAACAATTGCCTTCACATCATCCCTACTCCACGCATGTTCATAGCTCTCCTTTAAGCTATAAAGTACTAGAAATACACACACACACACACACACAAAGAGTAAAGGAAAAGGTGTGTGCTATAGACAATAAAGTTTTCAAACACAAAATATCGTAGTAGGTATCTCCTTTATTTGAAGACATCCATAACAAACACGTAACAGAAATTTGGGTTATGAGCATTGGCATATGCAACATGATGGCATCAGAGTAAGTCTGCGTTTCATTTGCCTGGTCTGATCATATTTTTTGAAGATCTGCTCTGGTCAGATCTGGTCTGGTCTTATCTGCAATTATAATTAAAGCTGTTTCTGATTTCTGATCAGATCTGATCTAGTTTGGTCTAATCTGATTTTAATAAGAATAAGTAATAAGTAAAAAAATAAGTAGAACAGTACACTGCCTAGATGTGCATCGCACTAGTATGATGTGCTCATCGGTCTCAATAAAGGTTCACTTACTTTAAAATAAAGCTCATCATTACATATTATAGTAGTTGAGTAGAAAGTAGGCATTAATTATTGGAATGCATGAGTTCAACCTTTTCTGTGTTAAATATTCACTCACAAGTTTTGATAATTGACAAACACAATTTATTCAAGTCAAGATTAAAGTGCTACATTGACAAACATGAAGAATTGGAGTGTCATTCCTTGAAATATTCAAGAAGGTGCACATGATTTTATTGTGTCCGAGACGCGTTCGGGGCGCCTAACGGAGGACTCGGGAGGAGTATAAGATTTCTGAAGACATTTTATTTTATTGAGTCTAGGAACTTTTTGTAAGGATGACAAAAATTATCTTCTCTTCAAAATTATTTTTATGAGAGTTAATATAAAAATTATATTTATTTTTAGAGTCAGTTGAAAAGTCTTCTTAATTGTTCAAAATACTTTTATTGAGTCAGTTACAAAAGGTGTGTCAAACATTTATCAAAATATTTGTTTTGATATTAGAAAATACTTTTGGTAAGCAAAATATTTAATTCAAATATTTTTTGTGTACACTGTTTGACACACAAAATATTTTTGGGACTCATTTTCTACACCAAAAAAATTCTTTCAGATATTCAAATTTGAATTTGAATATATTTTAATGATTTGGGGAGCCTTCTCACTTCACTTCATTGCCCCAAACCAACCATAACCTCCAAAACTTGTTTCCAACTCGCACACATGCCTTGGGGCCTTCATGTTTGAGAATTATCCATTAGTGGATCGATCCCCATGGTTGGATCGATCACACGATTTTTTAGTGTGCGCAGATTTTCCTACGAAGGATCGATCCAGAGGCATGGATCGATCCCCCGAACTCAGCTCAACATTCTTGCATCACTTTGCAGTATATTTGGATCGATCCAATGGCCTGGAACGATCACATGGCCTGGATTGATCCTCTGAGCTGAAACCTGTCAAAATCATTTCATTTCTTTTCCCAACGGATATATTCTTTCAACTCCTATTTAATCACCATTCCTTGGTGATTTTCAGTATGAAAAAACACTCCAAAACTCTCATATCTTGAGGTTATAATCCTCCATTCAATTCTTCCTCAAATTCATATATTTTGAGAGAAAATTATTTGTTTTCAAGAGAGTGTTCTGGTCATCCATAGTGCTCAATTATTTTATCATTTCTAGTCTTGTGATCGTCTTTGTTGAGAGGTTGAAAAAGTTTGTTCTTCTTGCTGTACAACACTTATGTGACTTAAGTCTTGGTTGTGAAGTCTTGTAGAGGGCACATCTACGAGCGGTGGTATTAAGGCTTGTGGGATTCAAGTTCTCAGGTTGATATGGTTTGTTAAGCACCCGTACGCTTAACGTAAGTAGTGGTAGCTTCAAGAGAGTCTCTCGGGGAACTTGACGTAGCCACACGTCATGGTGAACCAGTGTATATCGGTGTGTTCTTTGCCTTCTCTCTTTTATTTCTGCTGCACTTTTGTTTATCTTATTTAATTCTGCGAAAATCGTTAGTCATTCTCAACAACTCTATTCACCCCCTCTAGAGTTGGACGAATTGTCTAACAATTGGTATCGGAGCAGGTATCTCTAACGCTCTTTGTGACGTTTGAGAAAACAATCAAATTTTTTTTTAGAATGTTGAACGCAGGGATTAGAGAAGGGCAATCCACCGTTAGGCCGCCATTTTTAGATGGAACAAATTACTCTTATTCAAAGGAGCGAATGAGGATTTTTGTTCCATCAAACGACTTCAAAATATGGCTTGCTATTAAGAATGGAGATAGCTTGCCGATGAAGAAGATAGGCGATAGATTCATCCTGAAGAACGAGGATGAATATGATGAAGCCGACTTCAAGAAGGCTCAATTGAATACCACCGCCATAAACTTCTTGTATTGTGCTGTCAACGCCAACGATTATCAAAAGATTTCTCGGTGCCAAACCGCCAATCAAATGTGGAACAAACTTATGATCACATACGAAGTTACGCCTCAAGTTTGTGAATTAAAAATTGATTTACTAACCCATGAATATTAGTTATTTACTATGAAAGAGAACGAGCTTGTGGAGGACATGTTTGAAAGATTTTCAAACATTTTCAATGACCTCGATATGCTTGGAAAGACTTTCACCGACAAGGAGTTAGTGAGGAAAATCCTGCGAAGTCTTACCAAGGAATGGGAGTCGAAGGTAAACTCCATCTACGAAGGCCGAGACTACAATGTCATCACATACGACGGTCTTCGAGGTAACCTTATCACTTATGAAACAAATCATCTCTCTCATACTCTTGATGTAAAGAAGAGAACGGGAATTGCTTTTAAAGCATCCTCTTCTCAAAGAGTAGAGATTAATGATTCGGATAGTGATAGCGATTCTAGCGTTGATAGTAATTCCTGTGATATTTTGATGGAATGTTTTAATGAGTTTCTGAAACATGAGCTCAAAAAGAACAAGGAAAACATTCAAAAATGTCATAAGTGCGGAAAGCTCGGTCACCGAAAGCATGAGTGTCCGAAGCTCAAGAAAAGAGGTATTCAAGATGAATTTGCTTATTTCTCGTGGAAGCATGATTAATCTTTCAAAGGCGACCCCTCAAATTTATGCCTCGTCACTCTTGAAGAACAAAACGAGGTAAGTACTTCAAATCATCCTTTTTCTTTTGAAGAATTACAAGATGCATTTTATGGGTTATTAGACAAATTTAAGAAAACCTCAAAAATTGCTAAATCAACTCAAAATAAGCTCACATCTTTTGAAGAGGAAAATAAATTTTTGAAAAATGAAAATGAAGACCTTAAAAATAAATTTAAGGCAATTGATGAGGCAAACTTAAATATGCCTAATTCTCCTTGGTCTACTTGTAGTTCCTCAAAAATTGAAGTAGAACAACTTAGGAGCACTTTAGAGAAACTTAAGGTAGAAGAGACTAGGAAAATTGTTAAAGATGTTAAGATTAATAGACCACCTGGAAGAAATAATTATAGGAATTTTGAAAATGTTAGGAATAATTTTAGACAACCTAGAAATGACTCTAGGAAATTTAAAAATGATAGGATAAATTTTAGACAACCTAGAAATGATTCTATGAATTTTATAAATGGTAGGAATGATATTAGACAACCTAGAAATGAGTCTAGGAATTTTAATTCTAGGAAAAATGATTTTAGATCACCTAGATATTATTTGGCTCAACCTAGGCATATGCACAACCCGAATGTAATATGTTACTATTGCAATCGGCTAGGTCACATAGCACCCGTATGTTTTGCTAAACATAGGGATTTATGTTGTGATTATCATTATTATGTTCCTAACAATCAAGGACCCAAAAGTGGTTGGGTACCAAATTTTTATTTTTAGATTTACCATAAAAGGTGTGCTTGAAGACTACAAATATGTAGTGGATGCTCCAAGCACTTAACCAAAGAGATTGCATCAAAGGGTAGTGGTTACATTTTTTTAATGAAATGTTATCTATGAGATTTATTTTTTTAATTGTTATTTGGGGAATTTACATAGGTTGTTTTGCATATAGTAAAGGGAAGATCTTTTTGTGCTATATGTGTTGATTCTTTTTGTATGCCTTATTGTTTTGGGTAGATAACATACATTAAGGGGGACGTATTTTTATTTGCTAGATATGTATGTTTTTAGGGGGGATGTGATTTTCTTTAAATGTTTAGATTTTTTTCTCTCCCTGAATGCATGAGTTCTTTTGGTACATTATTTTTGATAATGCCAAAAGGGGGAAGAGTATAAGAGTATATGCCTTTAAAATGTTATTTGTTGAGAACATATCCTCCATGTGTTTGTCATTATTAAAAAAGGGAAAATTGTTACAATGCATGAGTTCAATCCTTTTTGTGCTGGTTAAGTTCCTTGAAGTATTCAAGAAGGTGCACAGGATTTTGTTGTGTCTGAGATGCGTTCTGAGCGCCTAACGGAGGACTCGGGAGGAGTACAAGATTTCTGAAAACTTTTTATTTTATTGAGTCTAGGAACTTTTTGTAAGGATGACAAAAATTATCTTCTCTTCAAAATTATTTTTATGAGAGTTAATATGAAAATTATATTTATTTTTGGAGTAAGTTGAAAAATCTTTTTAACTGTTCAAAATACTTTTATTGGGTCAGTTACAAAAGGTGTGTCAAACATTTATCAAAATATTTATTTTGATATTAGAAAATACTTTTGGTAAGCAAAATATTTTATTCAATTTCGTGTACATCGTTTGACACAAAATATTTTTGGGACTCATTTTTTACATTAAAAAAATTCTTTCAGATATTCAAATTTGAATTTGAATATATTTTAATAATTTGGGGAGCCTTCTCACTTTACTTCATTGCCCCAAACCAACCATAATCTCCAAAACTTGTTTCCAACTCGCACACATGCCTTGGGCCTTCATGTTTAAGAATTATCTGTTAGTGGATCGATCCCCATGGTTGGATTGATCCATGATTCTTTAGTGTGCGCATATTTTCCTACGAAGGATCGATCCAGAGGCATGGATCAATCCCCCGAACTCAGCTCAACATTCTTGCTTCACTTTGCAGTCTTTT